AAACTATTAGAATTCTAAGGAAAATGGAACAACCATCACAGAATCGGCCTACAAAAAAAAAAAAAGTTTAGTAAGAAGCCGGAGAATGGGGGCATCACAGCAACAACAAAATAAATACATGGTACGATGATCAACTAAAAAGCTCTCAAACCAAATAAACAACTCGTGAAAGTAAACAGACAACCACAGAATGGGAGAAAATTTTTGCATCCACCATCTGATAAGGCTGATAACTAGAATACTACTTAACTCCACAAAATCAGCATGAAAAAATCAAAAACCCCATTAAAAAGTGGAAAAGGACTTGAACAGAAACTTCAAAGAAGACACGAAAGAATAGCCAATCAAACATATGAAAAATGCTCAACCATCTCTAATACACAGGGAAAGACACATCAAACCACAAGAGATAAATCACTTTAACTCCCAGTGAGAAATGGCCTTATAATCAAAAAGTTCCCGAAGCTATAATGCATGTGGAGGAGACGGGAACACCCCTACACTGTGGTGGGACAGCAAAACTAGTTCAACCTCTGTGGAAAGACAATATGGAGATACCGTTAAAGCAATACAGATAATCTATCCATTTGATCGCAGCAATCCCACTGCGGGCCCATCTACCCAACAAGATCAATGAACCCTACTACAAATAAGACATCTCCCCCCTGACGGCCGTGCCCAAGGGCGCATGTGATTGCTTGTAGAATAAAGTAATATTATACTGTGCTTCGCCCTGACGCCCGGCCGGGCAAGGCCTCAATGTTTAATACAGCTACAATCATCAATTGACGAGGGCTGGTGGAGACAGCAGGGCCGGCGATCCAACGGCAAGAGGGATAATAAGGGATATCGATCAGCGCAGTAGGGGGGGCGGGGCGGGGGGGAGACCGGCGGGCGCCGGGTGGCCGGCTGATAAAATTTGCTTTACAGGATTTAAATGTACTGATTAGACGCTAAAAATGAGATCAAGGTGCAAGATGAATGGCACATATAAATCGTAAGCTGACGCATTAGAAAGTCATACAGCCTCGCCGCGGGATCTCGTTCCCCCGGGGCCGGGGCGGGAGGGTGCGCGGCGCGTGGGGGGGGTGTGGGCAGGCGGGGGGCAGCGGGGCGGGCGGGGGCGTGCGGAAACGAATTTAGGCATTTAACTAGTACGTTGAAAGGAAGTTAAGACAAAGAACTTAGAGCGCAAGAATCAGTCATCCGCCGGACGTCTATTCCAGCTCTAAGAAAACAACGGAATATAGCACTATTCTTATATTTTCCTGTTACCTGAGCTGGAACCCAACTACAACGTGAAGTATCCCAAGACCGGAAAACAAGCACCACATATTACTCACCACATCAAACTGTAAACGAGGCGAGCGCCCTAAAGTGGACACATAAGGATATACAGTAAGAGGGGTAATGGCCCAGTGGTGGGAGGAAGGAGAGGGAGGCGGGGAAGTAGTTCATACATATAATAGAAATGAGATGTGCACCATCTGGGGGATGCAGGCTGGAGACTCAGACTTGTGGGGGAGGGGAAATGGGCATTATTGAAAACCTTAAAATCTGTACTCCATCTAATATGCGCGAAAATACAAAAAAAATTAACATTCCTCAAAGCAAACAAAAAGAAACCAAACCACCTAAGATTTCGAAGAGGCTCAAGCGAGAAAGACTTATATACCTTGCCCAAAATGAAGTGATATATCACAGTGCCTGGGTAAAGCTCTTAAATTCAGAGAATAAAACACGCATTCGCAGGGGACCGAAAGAAGAGAGTGATTAAGAATGGCAGCCAAGTAGAAAAAGAACAGCAGGGTATGAAAGTTAGAGATGAGGGCGACAAACTCCTGCAATCCAAACAGAAAAAAAAAAAAAAAAAAAAAAAAAACCAGAAAAAGGTTTTCAAAAGAATAAAATCCAAACTGGACTGGACAGTAAGACGCTGAGAGACAGAATTCATGCATACTAATCATTCAAGAATGAAGGCAAAGATAGAATGATCTCAGAAATGTTAACTACCCAGTCATCTTTCCTGATAAAGTTGCTCAGAGTCAGTTTTGAGATTAATGAAAGCATTGGGTCCCTGCTGGACTATCTACCGCAATACTTTTTTCTAGAATCTTCCGCTCTTGCATTTGCTGTCCCGCACTTGTATTGTGAATAGTAGAAAAGATAACTTATGGCAGTGTGTAGCACTGAAATA